AAGGAAGGGTAGGCAGGGGTTTACAATAAGAATGAAAAACAAACCTTCCAAAGGGGATAGGGGCTCTGTGGCTGAAACACTTGCGTGTTTGAGGCCGTGACTGTGATCTCCAGAACCACCCACACACTCCAAGCACAACCCTGGTTTATGCCCAGCAGCTCTGCTTTCTATGTTCGACAGTACAGCAAATGATTTCCGGTTCCACCATAGCCACCCATGTATGAGCACTGCCACTGAAGGGTGACCCCTGTGAGCACTGCGACCGAAACAATATGCGAGTTTAACAGCCAGGAATGTGACATCGTGGAGAGTTCCCCAACTAAAGTGTGCACAAGTCACACGAGAGTGGGACCCTGGCAGAGAGTGCAAAGTGACAGACACTGATCCTCAGTTACCGTAATATCAACGGGGAGGGGGGGGGGCGGAAATACACCTTAAAGAGAAAAAGCCACATCTCAGCTTAAAACACAAAACAAGGGGCTGGAGCGATAGCATAGGGGGTAGAGAGTTTTCCTTGCAAGCAGCCAACCCGGGTTCGATTCCCAGCATCCCATACGGTGCATCGCCAGGAGTACTTCCTGAGTGCATGAGCCAGGAGTAGCCCCTGTGCATCACCGGGTGTGACCCAAAAAGCAAAAAAAAAAAAAAAAAAAAAAAAAAAACCCCAAAAAACAAACAAACAACAAAATCCTACCTTTCAGACCCCACCAACCCTGCCCTGCCCTTTATTCTCAGACTTCTCCAAAGATTTAGGCTTCACCATTATCCTCAATACCTTCTTTTCACCACCCCACTGAATCTACCCTAGCAAAGACTGTCAATGAACTCTGCTTGGAGTCCAACCTAAGGACAGGCCAGGGGTCCAGGATTTCATTGAGATTAAAAGATTTATAAATGTTTGTAATTCCCATCCCTCCCACCTGATTCTGCTTTAGTAAAATAATTCCCATGACCCAGGAGCAGTTTTCAATTAACCTTTCCCTTGAGGGTCCAGAGGCAGCCAACACCATGCTCAGTCCTCCCCTGGACCCCTGGGTTTCCTGGGTTCTACCTCACTACAATCTTCTCTATGGCCCCTTCCTTATGGCAAAGCCTCCCTCTGCCCTGTTTTCAGCGATGGCTTCCCCAAAGTTCTCACTTTTCTTATTAGCTACTCTCTAGGGTGGGGCAGGGGGAACTTCATCATTACTATGACTCAAGTTACAACTCCCTTACTGAACTCCCGGACTCGGGGTTCAATTCTCATCTTTCAAGAGCTCCAGACTCACGGATTCAATAGCCTCCTTAGAAATGTCGACTTGGATGCCAGCATTCACTGAAACCATCAAACCGATAGACAAAAATCTCTAGTTGCCTTCACCATATTTCTCTTCCACCATATTCACTTCAATAAGAGAAAAGTACCATCTACCCAGTTGCTCATGCCAAAAATCTAGGATTCTTACTCTACTGAGTTACCCCTAAGTCTTTTGAAATTAACATTACTTCTAAATTAACATTACTTCATTCTTAGATCACCTGTTTTCTCACCAATATTATTGAAACTGCCTTCTGATCTTTTGTTTGTTTTTGAATCACACCCAGCGATGCTCAGGGGTTACTCCTGGTGAACCAAATGGGGTGCCATAGATTAAACCCAGGTTGGCCACAAGCAAAGCAATCGCCCTACCCACCAATGTCATCTGATTTTTCAATCATTTGCTCTGTTTCAATCAAAGTGGGTCTTCAAACCCCAAACTGATTTACAAAAAAAATTTTAAAACAAAATAATTTAAAAATAAGGCCTAAGAAATAATACAGTGGATAAAGCACTTGCCTAACCTAGGTTTGATACCCAGCACTTCATATGGTTCCTTGAGCACTGGCAGGAATGATCCCTGAGCAGAAAGCCAGGAGTAAGCCCTGGTTGTGGCCCAAACTATATAGCACTGTCCTCCCGTTGTTCATCAATTTGCTCGAGCGGGCACCAGTAACGTCGCCATTATGAAACTTGTTGTTATTTTGTTTGGCATACCGAATATGCCACGGGAAGCTTGCCAGGCTCTGCCATGTGGGCGGGATACTCTCGATAGCTTGCCAGGCTCTCCGAGAGGGATGGAGGAATCAAACCCGGGTCGGCCACATGCAAGGCAAATGCCCTACCCACTGTGCTATCACTCCAGTCCTGTGGCCCAAACACAAACACAAAACAGTAACAAAAAGCTCACATTGAATATGTCATCATTCTGTTGAAAATATTTGTTGGTTTTCTCTCCTTTCTCAGTTTATCCAAACACCTCAATATGACCTGTAACTTGTCCCCTAATGACTACAGTCTCCCTTCCCATGCTCCCTTTCCCAGTCACTGTGCACAGTTTTCAGCTGCTGACATGGCCCACATGCTCTGTATGCCTGTCATACTGCCACTGAATGCTCTCCTGCCCCTGACAGTGGCTGGACTCTTTCCGTCCTTTCATTAAGCTAAGTCACTTTCTCCAAGAGGCCTCCCCTCTACCTGGACAGGTCAGTCTCTTTGTTTTGGGCCTACAATCGATATACACTTCTCCTATCAGAATATTTATACTACTTATTTTGACTAATTTAGCTTTTTCGTTTGTTTCCGAACCACACCTGGAGGTGCTTAGGTCTTATTCCTGACTCTACATTCAGGAATTACTCCTGGAATACTATGGGATGCTAGGAATCGAATCTGGGTCAGACAAGTGCCCTACCCACTGTACCTTTATTCTAGCCACTTATTTGAACTTTTTTGTTTTTGTTTTTTGGGTCACACCTAGTGATGCACTGGAGTCACTCCTGACTCTGCACTCAGGAATTACCTCTGATGGTGCTCAAGGGACCATATGAGATGCTGGGAACTGAACCCGGATTGGCTGCGTGCAAGGCAAACGCCCTACGCACTGTGCTATCGCTCCAACCCCTATTTGAACTATTATATGTCTTTCTCCTGAGAGCAGAAAGACGTCCCTCAGTCATAATTTTATCTACAGTTTATATTATAGTGCTTTGCTCAGGGCATAAACTCAACAGAGATGAGGAAATGCAACCTCAACCTTTAGTTTGTCACTAACCAAAGGTACAAATAAGCAAAGAAATCATTAGAATACAGTGAATGCTATGTACATGGATGCTTATGGGTTACTAGGTCTGAACATTTGGACCCCTTCAATTCCATTTTGGAATCCAAATGTCCAGTATGTCAGTACTAGGAGTGCAGTCTTTGAGAGGTGCAGAGGTCATGATAGTGGTAATCTGTGAATGGGAATAGCGCTTTTCCATGAGACCACAGAGGCTCCCAGTCCTTTCTGCACTGTGAGAAAACAGCAAGAATTTTGCAACCTGGGTGGAACTTCATACAACTGGCACCTTGATATTAGATTTTTCAATTTCCAGACATGAGAAAAAATGTTCGGGGATTTTGGGTTTTTTTGTTTTGTTCTTTTTTTGTTACTGTGTTTGGCATATCAAATACGTCACTGGGAGCTTGCCAGGCTCTGCCGTGCGGGCGAGATACTCTCGGTAGCTTGCCGGGCTCTCCGAGAGGGGTGGAAGAATCGAACTCGGGTAGGCCATGTGTGTGTGGGTGGTGCATACCCAGTAATGTTCAGGAGGTTGGGGTTGCAGCTGGCAGTGCTTGGGCATTAAATTTTATTTAGTTTTTCAGTTAGTAAATCCTTCTTCACGTGCAAAACATGCACTCTGGCCCATTGAGCTATTCCTTTGGTGCAAATTTCTGTTGTCTATAAGCTACCTATCTATAATATCTTGTTAAAACAACCAAAGATTTAGATAGAAGAGAAGATGGAATCACTGTCACTGTCACTGTCCTCGCGTTGTTCATCAATTTGCTCAAGTGCGCCCAGTAACATTGTGAGACTTGTTACTGTGTTTGGCAGATCGGATAGATCACAGGTAGCTTGCCAGGCTTTGCTGTGCAGGCGAGATACTCTCAGTAGCTTGCCGGGCTCTCCGAGAGGGGTGGAGGAATCGAACTCGGGTTGGCCATGTTGGCTGCATGCAAGGCAAATGCCCTATCCGCTGTGCTATCGCTCCAGCCCAAGAATATGGAATAGGAAGGGTTAAAGAAACACAAATAACGTTCCCCGGTTAGCCAAGCAAGTCACATATTAATATGTGACATTTGAGCTGGCTTATCATTCATTCCATTCACTCAATGAATACTTTCTTTGCATCTACTTGGTGCCTGGTATTGCTTCAGGCACTCAGGATACAGCAGGAAATAAAACAGACATTGTTCCTTTCTTCCTGAAGCTTACTCTCGTGGGCACAGACATAAGTATTAAAATCTAACAAGATAATCTCAGATGAGGGTAGTTTCTTTTCTCTTCTTTTTTGTTTTTTTTTGGGGGGGCGGGGGTACACCCAGTGGTGCAGCTTAATTCTGGCTCTCCATTCAGGAATTACTCCTTGTGGTGCTTGGGAGACCATATGGGATGCCAACGATAGAATCCAGGTTGGCTGCATGTAAGGCAAATGCCCAGCCTGCTGCACTTCGCTCTGGCCCCCTAAACACAGGATTTGAAGCAGTGATTTTTCTTTTCTTTTTTTTTTTTTGTTTGTTTTTTTGCTTTTTGGGTCACACCCGGCGATGCTCAGGGGTTACTCCTGGCTCATGCACTCAGGAATTGCTCCTGGCCGTGCTCAGGGGACCATATGGGATGCTGGGAATTGAACCTGTGTCGGCCATGTTGGCTACGTGCAAGGCAAACGCCCTACCCGCTGTGCTATTGCTCCAGCCCCGAAGCAGTGATTTTTCAACCACCAGTTTAGGGTCCAGTGCTGGTTCCCAGGTGAAGAAAAGCTGAAAACCATTAGTCTACTGCACCCAGACTATGGGCCAGTATGCAGGAAAGACGCTAGTCCTCATGTGTAGGAAGGTTGAAAACCACTAGTTTAGAGTATGGTACTATTGTGCCCTTTGCCCATTAGAAACAAAATTGTCCCAGACAGAGTGCCTGCTTCTGTCTCTCAAGACTTACCCGAACCTCAGCCTCCCGGGGCCTCCCATTGAGGTCGCACTTGGACCCGTTGCCATACGACTGGCTGTGGTAGCGTTTCAGGCGATGCTGCTTGGAGGCCTGCAGAGGACATTGGGCGTGAGAAAAGACAAGAGCAAGGGAGGAAGAAGACACTCTGTGCTATGGCCACCGAAAAACATGTCAATTAATCCTGATCCTCCCCTGCTTTTGAGGGTTCTTAAAACTCCAGTGCACCCCTTTCTCCCAATCCCACACTCCTGCCACCTTGGCTGTTTCATCATCCCAGTCGAAGGCCGATTGATAGTAGCCGAGATACAGAACTTCACCTTTGATTTCTGAATCTGCAAGAGACACCACAGAAAAGTCCCATTACGCCCTTCTAGGAGGACCAGGAGGGAAGGAGATGGGGGAGGCAGGTCACCTTCCATGACACGATGCTGAAGCTTAAGGAAAATGAAGGCAGGAGTCACCTTCCATGTGGTACTGCTGAATGTGGCGTCCATAACAGAATTCGTACGTCCACCAGTCCTTGGTCTGACAATAAGAAAGGAAGAGTCAGGGGGAGAATGGGCAGATAGCTCTTACTGACTCAGATTCTCTTCTGACATCAAGATACAAACCACTCATCTTTTTCCCTTCTCCCTCTGTATCCACACTCAATTCTCCAGATTCTTGGGGCAGAGGAAAAGCAACTTTCCTTCTGTGATTTGAAAAGCTAATTTTATTTGACTTAATCTTATTTTTATAGGGTTTTTAAGCACTGCACCTATATTTCTCTTTTTTGTTTTGGGACCACATCTGGCAATGCTCAGGAGCTACTCCTGGCTCTGTACTCAGGAATTACTCCTGGTGGTGCTCAGGGGACCCTATGGGATGCTGGGGATTGACAACAGGTTGCTGCATGCAAGGCAAATGCCCTACCCACTTTACTATCAACCATCGCTCTAGCTCCTGGAAATCTAATTTTAAAGTATGTTATTCATCACCCAAGAATAGCTGAGATAAGTACCAGGAAGATTACTCCATGGCTTTGAGGACAGCTTCACACGCTAGGGGAAAAGGTAGCTCAGATAAGAGAAGGGAGCACCAAATAAATAGTGTTGGGAGGTTCCTCTCAGGATGGGAAATGCGTGGTGAGAGTAGACTATAGTTCGAACAAGACTGTCACTCATCCAGGAATTTTACTCCATGACTTGGAGGCCAACCACACATACTAGGGGAAAAGGGAGCTCAGATAAAGAGGGGAACACCAAATAAAGGTGTTGGGAGGATCCTCCCAGGATGGGAGAAGCATGCTGAAAGTAGACTATAGGCCAAACATGATTGCCACTCAATGTTTATTTTGCAAACCACAACACCCAAAAGGAGAGAGAGAACAGAGGGGAATGCCCTGCCACAGAGGAAAGGTGGAATGGGGGGAATGGGGGATGGGAGGGATACTGGGTTCCGTGGTGGTAGGAAATGGGCACTGATGAGGGATGGGTATTTGATCATTGTATAATTGAAACTCAAGCACAAAAATGTGTAAGTCTGCAACTGTACCTCATGATGTCTCACTATTAAAAAAATTTTTAATAAAAAAAAGGATTGCCACTCAATGTCTCTTTTGCAAACCACAGCACTCAAAAGGAGAGAGATAATGGAGGGGAATGCCCTGCCACAGTGGTAGGGTGGGATGGGGGGATGGGGGGTGGGAGGGATACTGGGACTGGTGGTGGTGGAGAATGGGCACTGGTGGAGGGATGAGTATTCGATCATTGTATCAGTGAAACCCAAGCACAAAAATTTGTAAGTCTACAACTGTACCTCATGGTGTTTCACTAATAAAAATTAAAAAAAAAAATAAAGCATGTTATTCATTTGTGGTTTTTCTATTCCTCCGTTTTTTTTTTTTGGAAGTGCATGAGCAGCAGTGATTGAAGAGCAATTATGTCCCGTGCTCAGGGTACCATATGGTACTGGGGATAGAACTCAGCAAAGTATGTGCATTAACCCCCTGAGCACTCTCACTGCTCACTGCCCCTCCCTTCCTTTTAAACATTTATTTAATTTTGGCTTGGGGACCACACCTGGCAATGCCAAGGGCTTACTCTTGGCTCTGCACTCAGGAGTTGCTCCTGATGGTGCAAGGGTAACCAAATGGGATACTGGGGATCAAACTTGGGTTTGTCACATACAAGGCAAGGACCTTAGGTATTGTATTATCACTCCAGGTCCTCCTTTTAAACATTAAAAAAAAATTCTGCACCCTCCGTAAAGATAATTGTGGCTTCCTGGAATTATTAAGACCAGAGAAACAGGGTCAGAGGGAAAGTACAGAGAGTAAGGTGTTTGCCTTGCACACAGTCAACCTAGACTCATCCTCTGGCCCCCCATATAGTCCCCTGAGCCACCACGAGTGATCTCTAGTGTAAAGCCAGGCATAAGCTCTGAGCACAGCTGGGTGTGACTAAAAAAAAAATTTAAAAAAATCAAAACCAGGGAAACATAAGAAAAGAATGTAGGATATAGGAAACGTAGCAATAAAGTAAAATATTATTTAAACTTTTACAACACTCTTTGAGCTTTCAAACCACTGGCTGTGAAGTAGGTAAATTCTCTTGACCTCCTGAACTTTTCTTTTTTTTTTTTGCTTTTTGGGTCACACCCGGCGATGCTCAGGGGTTACTCCCGGCTCATGCACTCAGGAATTGCTCCTGGCGATGCTCGGGGGACCATATGGGATGCTGGGAATCGAACCTGTGTCGGCCATGTTGGCTGCGTGCAAGGCAAACGCCCTACCCGCTGTGCTATTGCTCCAGCCCCCGTGAACTTACATTTTAGTACTGGGACTGGCTCAAAACTAAATAAACTGATGACTCCATTAATAAGATGATTTTTAGATGGTTAACAGTGCCATGGGCAAGGGATGTGACTCAGAGGGAAAGCACGTGTCTTCAGAAACTTGGATTAAGGCTTACTCGGAGATCTTCCATTCGAACTCTCTACATTCAGCGCAGGTTAATGTAGATTAGAAAAGATGCGCATGACAGCTGGGACTGCTGCTTCATATGTGTGACTGATGTTTGCTCTCCAGTGGCCCTCTTAACTCCCCCAGGCCCTCCCGAATCCCCTCTCCCCGCCCATTCACCGGCACTCAGGTTCTCATACAGATGTGTAGATCCCACACTTCATCCCCTCCCGCCCAGTCCCCTTCACCTTCAGCAGGCAGGGAGCATCTTTCATGGGGCTCAACAACTCAGGGATCCCAGGCCCTTGGTAAGCAGGTGCCTCCTCCTCCCTTTCGCGCTGGAAGTGAATCGCTCCTGCGGGCAGGCGGCATTCATAGCGCTGCTTGTACTTAGAGGAGACAATCACCACATCCGAGGCTTGGCTCTGGGGAGAAGGGGAGTCGGGGGGCAGGGAAGCAAAGAGAGGCTGGGGTCAGGGAGAACAAGGGGATCCCTCTTCAGATCCTGGGGAAGCGCCCGGCCCAGAAAGAGGCTCCGGTCCAGCCGCCTGCAGGGCTGAGCACATTCCCACCCCTCCACAGGGGCGGGGTCTGGGCGTTTCGATCCGGAACTGGGACCTGACAGCGGGAAGCCCCACCCCTCCCGGTCCCCGACCACAGGGGAACGGGTCTCAGACCGCGATCCTCGGAAGTCGTCGGAAAGACCCAGCCGCCTCTTCTCGAGTCTCCTCCAGCTCCCGCCTCAGACGCCAACGCCGCCCTCCTTCTTCTAGCTTTCCCCTTCCCCTTTGCCCCGGACTCTCGTCGCCTCTACGCTTCCTCACCTGCCCTCCCATGACAGGCAACGGCAGGATCTCAATCCCATAACGCATCTCACTCAGCTCCTCCAGATTCAGGCTCCCGACACCACCAGTCACTCTTGCGGGGAACAGGAGCCCTAGAAGCAGCAGCCCCAACAGACTGGACAGCAGCGTTTCTGCCGCCATCTTCCGTTCCCCTCCTTAGCCAGAGCCACTCCTTCCGCCCTCAACCTGGCGGCGGCTTCAGACGCCCCTTAACACCACAAAGTTTCATTGGCTAAACGTTCTGTCTCTCTCGTGTACCCCATTCTCATTTGTGAACGTAGGCTCCAATGCTTACGAGGAGGTGGGACATGAGTCTTAGCGAAATCATACTCAGCGTGTGACTGGTCGGAGAGGCCAACCAATCACTGGCAAGATCGGAGCCCTCCTCCCACCTCTAGGCCCGGGAGAGGCGCGTAGGTAGACTTGGACCCTTTGAAGCAGGTTTTTTTTTTTCCCCTCCCAGCTGTCATGCGCATCTTTTCTAATCTCATTTTCCATCCTTTCTTGCTTTGAATCGGGACTTCACCGGGCGGATACGTGGGTCAGCGTTATACTCCTAGGAGTTAGTAATTGTTACAAGACAAAAGCATTTACATATATATATGTATATATATATATATATATATATATATATACACACACACATAAAACAATTTAGGTAAAGGTAAGGTAAAGGCCCTCCCGTTGATCGTCGATTTGCTCGAGCAGGCCCAGTAACGTCTCCATTGGAGACTTTGTTGTTACTGTGTTTGGCATATCGAATACTCTCGGTACCTTGCCGGGCGAGAGGGGCGGAGGAATCGAAGTCGGGTCGGCCATGTTGGCCGCTTGTAAGGCCAACGCCCTACCTGCTGTGCTATCGCTCCAGCCCAAAACAATTTATATACACGCAATTTATATACATACGATATATATAAAATTTTAGAGCAGTTTGTGCCAAAACCTTTCTACATGATCCTGCCATTATCCAAAACTAAAATTATCCTGAAGAAATAAGGATGGAGGGCCAGGGAGCTAATTCAAAGGACACGAGCGGTGCACATACTTTGCATGCAGGAGGACAGGGTTGGATCCCAGGCACCTCAAGATCCTCAGCACCACTGGGAACGACCCCAGCAACAGAGGGCGGGGTTTGGGGAGAATCCCTAAACACCATTGAGTGTGGCCCTAAAATCAAACTTAGAAGAAAGAAATGGGCTGGGAAAGAGATGTACAGTTCTTTTCTCTCCCCACGGGTTTGGGAGAAAGATGAACTTTCTTCTAGGTGATTTAAAGAGAAAGAGAAAAGAGAACAGTAGCAACAGAAGAAGAAGAGGAGGAGGAGGAGGAAGAGGAGGAGGAGAAGAAGAAGGAGAAGAAGAAGAGGAAGAGGAGGAGGAGGAGGAAGAGAAGGAGGAGGAGAGGGAGAGGGAGAGGGAGAAGAAGAAGGAGAAGGAGAAGGAGAAGGAGAAGGAGAAAAAGAAGAACCAAACCCACCCGAATGTTAACTGGTTAAGCAAACCTGAGAAAACTTATTCCAAGCAAAGGCAAACAAGTGCAAGATAAACAATAGCAAAGGTTTGGAAAATTTTCTCTGGGGAATATAAGTTTCCCCAAAGAGAAATCCCAAAGATATGTTTGCTCATCAGGGTCTTTTAGGGTTCACTTAACAAAAAAATTTAAAAATCCTACCATTTTCGTTCTTTGCTTTGCCAACTATTATTGGTCCCTTCCTAACTGCCCTTTGCCCTCACCCCAACCATTGATCAGTCTTGGCCCCTACTTTGCCTGGTCTTGCATATTTGTCTTATATATATAATCCACTACCTGCACTACCCAGCTGTGAAGACAATGTTTTTGAGAAACATTCGCTCTCAACGGAACGACCATCTCCGAATGCAACAGTTATGTGTACCTAAGTCGAGAAGTCAACATGACTATTGACCTGGCACCTGAGTTGCACAGGAGGAAGAGAGCGGCTTGGAACGCCTTCAAGAGCATCGAAGAAATAGCTAGGAGGATGAAGAAGCTCCGGCTCCAGGCACATCTCTCAGATTCCACTGTTCTTCCTGCATTAATATACGCCTCAGAGACCTGGGCCCTATGCAAACAGAATGAGAACGCTATTCGTGTCTCCCAAAGAGAAATTGAAAGAGCTATGCTTGGAGTATCACGCTTCACTCAAGTGAGAGAAAGAATCCGGAGTTCTGACCTCTGTCAATGGTCAAGAATCAGGAACGCTGTCTCATTTGCCAAGGCGTCAAAAATCAGATGAGCTGGACACGCAATGAGATTTAGAGTCGACCGCTGGACTAGAGCCATTACAGACTGGATTTCACAGGACGTCAAAAGATCGCATGGCCGCCCACCTACGAGATGATCAGACTTCTTCGTCAAAACTCTAAACGATTGGTTTGAGGCTCTTCCTGTTCCTGGAGTGAGCAGATGCCATTAGGCTACACTAGCACGCGACAGGGACAAATGGAGATGTTACTGGCTTCCGCTCGAGCAAATCGATGAGTAACGGGATGTCAAGTAATCAAGTGATTATATATAAATATTTTTATATCCCACAAATGAATGCAGTCATTCTCTATCTGTCCTCTCCTTCATTTCATTTAGCACAAAAGTCTCCATCTGCATTCATTTATAAGCAATTTTTTCCTAATGGCTGTGTAATATTCCACTGGGTATATGTATCATAGTTTCTTTATCCACTTGTCTGTTCTGAGGTACTTAGGTTGTTTTCAGATTCTGGCTATTGTTAATAGTGCTGCAGTGAACATAGAAATGCAGATGGCATTTTTACTTTTTTTAAATTTTTTTTGGGGGGAGGCCTTGGGTATATGTTCAGAAGTGGTATTGCTGGGTCCGGTGGGAGTTCTATTTCTAGTTTGTTTTTTGTTTTGTTTTGTTTTTGAGAAATGTCTATATTTTTTCCCAAGAAGACTGGACCAATTGACAGTCCCACCAACAATGAAGGAGAGTCCCTTTTTCCCCACATCCATTCCAGCACTGGTTGCTCTTGTTGTTTTGGATATGTGTCAGTCTCTGTGATGTGAGATGATATATCAGTATTGTTTTGATTTGCATCTCCCTGATGATTAGTGATGCGGAGCATTTTTTCATGTGTCTTTTGGCTATTTGAATTTCTTCTCTGAGGAAGTTTCTGTTCACTTCCTCTCCCTATTTTTGATGGGGGTGACCTTTTTTAAAACAAAACTTTTTTTTTTTCAAACAAAATTTGTAGACAAGTGTTCATTAAAGCTCTATTCATAATACTACATAAACAAAATGTGAAATATCCATACAATGAAATATTATTTGGCTATAAAAAGGCGTTACTTTACCCATAAATATAAATGTACCAAGCAAAATGAAGAAAAATATTCAGCATTTTTTTTATGTAGGAGTACTGCTATTTATTCAGCCACTGATTAGCTGATTGAATTGGGCATGAACTCCACCTTACTTTTTTTTTTATAATTTTATTTTTTTTTCTTCTTATATTTATTTATTGAATCATTGTGGGAAAAGTTACTAAACTTTCAGGTTTAAGTCTCGGTCATACAATGATCAAACACCTTTCCCTTCACCAGTACTCATTTTTTATCACCAAGAACCCCAATATACCCCCCTCCCACCCCTTGCAATGCCTGTGAGGCAGATGATTTCTACTTAACTCTTCTCTAAATTAATTACATTCATTATTTCAACAAAAGATGCACCATTATTGTTTAGAATTTCCCCCCCAACAATCAGAATTGGTGAAAAGGCCTTTGTTTTCTATAGCTGGTTATGAGAATCATATAATGTCGAGCGGCCGCTATCGCGGTTGCATGATTTTGGATTTCTGCAAAGAGTCAGATAATTGCGAGATTGATTTCTGTGCGTCTGGTGTTATGGCTGTGCCAGAGAGCTGCTCGTGGAGGGCAACTTGTGACCTCGTAGGGCCTGAAGGACAAGCCGGTACCACTGCCCTTCCCATGAGGCTGCAGTTGCCCCATCACTGTCGGCTCATATCTGGCTTTCCTATAAGCTCTGAGGTGGCCACCTTGCTGCTGGAGTGGGGAAAGGTGGAAGGGAGCAACACCCTTTCCCTCCCGGGAAGGCATGGTGCCTTCGTTTAATGCATGGTCCATTCACTTTTCTGCTGCAAGCTGCTGGGCTCTGGACTAAGTTCTTTTGCTCTGGAGCCATGGCTGTGCCGGAGGGGCGCTCGTGGGGGGCAACTCGTGACCTCGGTAGGGCATGAAGGACGAGCCGGTACAGTCCCCCTTCCCATGAGAGTGCAGTTGCCCCGTCACCACCAGCTCATACCTGGCTTTCCAATAAGCTCTTAGGCGGTGGCCACCTTGTATGAGGTCCGGATGCATTTCTGCCAAAAGCTGCTGGGTTTCCAGATTTGTTTCTGAGTCTCTGGGATCATGGCCGTTAATCAGCTTGATCAGGAACCAGAGAGGCAGCTTGTCGGCGGTGACTCAGGGTCTCATTGGGATGGGGAGGAAAGGGCCGGTTCTACCCCTATCTGGTGAGGCCCCGCATGTCTCGTTGATGTCGGTGGGCCCCACGGGTGACTTATGTGAAGTGGGGAGGAGAAAGACAGTCATTTTCTCCCCAACCGCCACTGCCACCTGGAACCCAGGGTTACTGGTTCTTGTCTCACCTCGCAGAAAGAATTTCAGGAATAGACGAGCAGTGAAATAAATAGATTTTATTTGGAGGATTTTTAAGGTGTGGAGAGGGAAAGAATGAGAGAGAGTAACGTATTCAAGAGAGAACACGGGCTTCTCCAAGGGCGGAGAGAGCCCCTACATATATCCTAGCATTAGACACAAAAGCATGAAAAGTACACATCTCAAGAGGGGAGATGCAGGCGCCACATGTGCTCGGGCACCACATGTGCTCGGCCACATGGGCGCAAGCAGCACATGGGCTCTGGCAGCATATGCGCGCCCTTCCTTTTTTCAAGGTGGCCTTTATAGGGTTTCTCCAGCCTGCCCCTATGTGAAGCTTCTTACCAGGTAAAAGTCCGTTGCTAAGGAGGTTACCAGGGAGGCTGGGAGTGGTGATGGTCTTCTTTGGGCTGAATCACTAAAATTAATCGGATTAAAAGGGAAGTCCAAAAAGAGGAACTTCATGGGGAGGAAGCCTATATCCTCAGGGTCTGCAGATGAAGAACCCGGCAAGCTACCAAGAGTATCTT